CAGCCGCCCCCGGCCGGGCCGCCGTGACGCGCCCGGCCTTGCTCGCAGGCCGTTCTCTCTGACGGGCGTTAGCGATTCGGGGCGTGCCGTGCGAGACCTGGTGCTGCCAGGGGCAATTTGTAACGGGTGCTGAGCTGTTAGAAGCAGGAGACTGAAAAAAACATTGTGAAGTCGGAGCTGGTACAAGTGACAGGAAAGAGCGAGGCTGCACCGTTTGGTCTGCAGCTATGCAGGTGGAGTGCGTGTGTGGATTGTCATAGCTTGCGGCAGGCTTAGCTAACTGCCAGGAAGTACACAGAGAATCGCCTTCCCTTCTGCCAAAACTCTGCTCGCTATAGCACTCTGCTGCCTCTCAATTATTGAGAAGTACAAATGAAAATAACTTGCTTTTCACTATTATTCTCAGCTGACAAAAGATACAGCTCAGCCAGTCTTACAGAGATTAACGCCTGAATGAGCAAAAGGGTTGTGTGTGTGACTAACGTCCCAAGCAAAAGTAAAGACACGCGTCTGAATCCAGATCTCAGAGTGGTTAGTCTGTGGTGCTTTTTACGTCTTACTGGAACGTGTTTCTCCAGGCTAATTCCTGTGAAATTCCTGTCTTCAGCACAGATGGACCTTTTCCCTGAGACAGACATGGTCAGAAAGCAGGAGGGCTTCGTTGGAAACCTGTCTTTCTGGATGGAAAGTTTTGGAGTTTGAGGGGGTGTGAGAGGAAGTGAACATCTGTTGCAGAAACTCAAATAGTTTTGGTGTTAGGTCGATTAAAAACTTGGTTTCATACACATGAAAATGTCTTATTCAGGACCAATGTCTGGTTATGCTACCGCTGCACTTTATGAAAAAAAAAGCTTTAGGTTCTCATGCAGCACTTCCCCTCAAGGTCAGGCTCATTGGTAACCTGTGTCTGCCACAGTGCTCCATGCCTGCTCTCTTAATGGTGCAGCCTATAGTGCTACGTGGGACTTGAGTCACTGCAGCAAAAGGAGGAATAAGGCACACGACCAGGGTGGGAGGATGTGGTTTAATACTGAAGAGAGCCAGATCATTTTGATGCGAGCATATCATACTGTTTCTTCTGCTGAGCATAGCTACAGGAAATGTTTACACATTTCCAAATAAAAAGGCTGCGTTTGAGACTTACCCATTTGTTCCTAGATGAAAAGGAATACTGGGAAAGCCTTTTTATAAGAAATTTTAGTTCACTTCAAGCTCAACCTCCTCCTCAAGGGAGGAGGATTGCTTAAATAGACCTGCCTCGCAGTTCTTGAGAATTAGTAGTAGATTCAGAGCAGAAACACTGCAGCTCTCCCAGTTTGAGAAACATGGGCCTTTTTCACGCAAGTGAGGAAAGGGCAGAGTTTAGGCACAAGTTCTCAGTCCTTACTCCAACCTCAAGGACCTTTACCAGTAAATGGACAGGCAAAGGGAGACCTGGACTATCCTGATAACCAACCACCAGCAGGCTTTGCCCTAGCACTGGCAGGGGGCTTCCAGAGGCACCCTGATATCTCTGATATCACCCCGTGCAGCCCCTTCAGCACTGCCGTGCCCCTCTCCTACCACCTCTCCTCACCAGTGTCTCATCCGTCCATGTTCCTCCATAGCCTGTGCTGGCCATGCTGCTGTAGCTTCTCCACAGCTTCCTGTGGCTCAGCAGGGCTGATGTGGCCTGGCCCTGGCAAGAGGAGAGGTGCTAGCAGGGGCCAACAGCAAGTTCAGCAAGTCCAGAGAATTTTCCCCCTCAGCGTGGCCCGCTGCCTGCCTGGCGTGAGGAGAGATCCCTCAGGAGGGCCAGACTGACTTCTTTGGCTGAATTCTTTGCCCCTTCTGGAACCTTCCAGAGAAGGCCAGCCAGTCAGCAAAGGACCTTAAGTGCTGAGTGAGATTTTCCTCAGCAGGGGATTTTCTGGGCTCCGTGTTGGCAAGAGGCAGCTCTATCTCCGGGGCCTTATTTGGGTGATAGTCTGATGCTGCTCATGTTTTGCCTTCACTGTCTGAGCAGGCAGGACGACCATGGTTGCTGGAGTCTTTGGCCAAAGGAGAGAGGCACTGCATCGTGCGCACAGCCGGGCCTGTCGGCAGCAGGCGGACCGGGAGGAGGTAGATGGCTGGCCATAGCTGATGGCAGGGAGAAGTCCTAACTTTCATTTTCAACAGATCTGTTGAGCTGAATCCTTGTCCTGATAGCAGCTCCTGTTACACAGGAGTGCCTTTCACATAAAATTGATAGCCACAACCAAGTCCCCAGTGGACTTCATGAACTCTCCAGTGCTTCTGCAATTTTGCGATTGAGAGCTTGTTTCGGTATCAGCGTGGAAATGTGACACTGGCTGTGCTCTGTGTGGTTAAGGGCAGGCTGCTGAGGTGGGGGGCTCAGAGGAGGGGGGTTGTTTTGATGAGAACTGACTCCTTTTTTGGTTGGATGAACCCTTTGTGTGTAACTTCTTCGTTTTGGGAAAGAGCAATGTTGTGCAGGTTGCTTGTAACAGAACGGCTTTTTAATGTGAAAGAAAAGTTGGTCATATTCAGCAGATGTGTATGTAGCCTAGTTAGGGTTCATGTATTTCTTTTAAGTCATGACTATGAATGAAAATACACCTCTGACTTTCTAATAGCTGACTACAAGTAAAAATTTGCCTTGTCTTGCACAGTATCAGTATGAAAGAGTGGGGTGTAGAAAGTGTGTTTGTCATCTGAACATGAAAATTCCAGCTGCCCAGTGGAACCAGCTATGGCTTTTAGTGCAGGATTGAAAATCCGAAATGCTTCTGTGTGAGCTAACAGTAGCAAATAGCCTCCCTGCAAGCAGCAGGGGTGAAGAGTCTCCTTTGGAAGATATTTCAGTCATTGCATTAGATCAGTAGTGCAAACAGATTTTATGGAATATCACTAGCCAAAATACCGTGCCCATTTATCAATTCTTTCTTGTAATGATAATATAGTTATGTGCCTATTTGTTCATTGTTATTATGTGTTGTATATTTATTTTCTCTGAGCAAGTGGAAAAGTGAGTTTCTGTAAGTACACAGTAAATCTTAAATTCACCTCTGCTGAATATATTGCAACTGTTGACTTGTTCTCACCAAATGAGCTGAATTTTGAAACTGAGATTACCAAAAACATTTAATAAAAATAGATCCTACCTTCTACTTTAATTTTCTGTATATGATTATGTTGTTGATGTGGTCTCACCTGCAGGCATTTGTCCCGCATACTGAGGGGAGAATTTTTCCCACTGTTATGGCACTATTTTTCATCCATTCAAGTAATAGAGCCTGGGTTAGGGCAGGGTTTTTTAATATTTAGTGTTTTCTTAATATACAACTTAGAGTTTTGTTTAGCTACAAATGCATAGCAGCGTAATAATTTTAAAACTAATCCTTCCTGTTCTACCCCTCCCAAAATAGCTCATTATTTTAAATTAGAGGAATAAGAAGCTATAAGATGCTTTGTGAAATGAAAATACTTTTATGAACTCTATTAACAAGAATTTTAAACAGAATAGAACAAAGTCCTTATACAAATTCCAGACTTGCTTCAAAATCAGCTGATGTTTTGTTTTGCATGGCCAAAATAAATCTAAAAAAATTGAGCTATAGCAACATTTTGCATAACTGGTGTAAAAACTGCTGTTTCAGTTAAAAGGATGCTGTAGTATCACATGCTTATAAAGCAAATGATAGTGGAAATCTGAATCATGCAAAACTGGGCAGTCTGAAGCAGGAATTTTATGAGTGGGAAATATGAGGAATTTTATCTGAGAAAAATGAGTTTACTCTTCCCAAGAACACGGTAAGACCTAAACATGCAGTTTTATAGTAGCAGACATTTTGTCAGCACTTTTCCTGCATGAGTTTGCTTAATAATTTCTTCTGTTTTCATACACTTCTGCTTTAGATCCAGTGAGTCAGATACAAAAAGTGTAAAACACAGGAGTTCCTTGGACTTCAGTAAAGTTACGCTATTTTACATCACCTCAGAAAGCTCTTTCTGAGAACAGAAAAAGTAAAAGGCTGTGCAGTACCTCTCCCTGTTTCAGTTCCTACACAGTAGCTGTAAGATGAAAAGACCTAGTTTCATTTTGTCTATGTAAAGAGTTCTTTCTCCAATAAAACTGAGGAAACAAGGAAAAAAAAGGAAACAGAAAATAGCAGACATCTGTGCCTGCGTTCTTGCAGTACCTGTATTCACAATCCTACATTCTGGTAGCGTATTAGTCTTTACTGATGCTTTCCTGTGGTTGCTCCTTAGTGGTTCCATGGTTTGAGGGGGGCTCTGGAACGAACTGTGTAAGGTGGTTGTTTGAGTCCATGACCATTGGAATAAAACAGTACAGAATTGTAAAGCCTATGGCCTGTAGCTCCCTCAAAGGTAAGCATGCCTAATGATGTGTCTTTTGTTGATATCAGCTTAATAATAATGCAGAAGTGGTAGAAGATGGGGAGAGAGAGGGGAAATGA